CATGTTCGAAAGGGTTACCACCCTTCCTATTACTACTATACTATTACTACCATATTTCCATGGTGTCTGTCTGTCTGTCTGTCTGTCTGTCTGTCTGTCTGTCTGTCTGTCTGTCTGTCTGTCTGTCTGTCTGTCTGTCTGTCTGTCTGTCTGTCTGTCTGTCTGTCTGTTCATAATCTGTCTGTCTGTCTGTCTGTCTGTCTGTCTGTCTGTCTGTCTGTCTGTCTGTCTGTCTGTCTGTCTGTCTGTCTGTCTGTCTGTCTGTCTGTCTGTCTGTCTGTCTGTCTGTCTGTCTGTCTGTCTGTCTGTCTGTCTGTCTGTCTGTCTGTCTGTCTGTCTGTCTGTCTGTCTGTCTGTCTGTCTGTCTGTCTGTCTGTCTGTCTGTCTGTCTGTCTGTCTGTCTGTCTGTCTGTCTGTCTGTCTGTCTGTCTGTCTGTCTGTCCTCTGTCTGTCTGTCTGTCTCGTTCGTCTGTCTGTCTGTCTGTCTGTCTGTCTGTCTGTCTGTCTGTCTGTCTGTCTGTCTGTCTGTCTGTCTGTCTGTCTGTCTGTCTGTCTGTCTGTCTGTCTGTCTGTCTGTCTGTCTGTCTGTCTGTCTGTCTGTCTGTCTGTCTGTCTGTCTGTCTGTCTGTCTGTCTGTCTGTCCTGTCTGTCTGTCTGTCTAATCTGTCTGTCTGTCTGTCTGTCTGTCTGTCTGTCTGTCTGTCTGTCTGTCTGTCTGTCTGTCTGTCTGACTGTCTGTCTGTCTGTCTGTCTGTCTGTCTGTGATACGATAATATAATAAACACGATAACTCAAAAACCGCTAAACCGATTTTAACCAAATTTGGCAAAAAAATACTGTGGCACCCGAGAATCTGGCCATAATTTTTGGTGGTGGTGGGGGTTGGTAAAGGGGTATGGGAGGGGGTTAAATTTAAAAAACCGTAGCTCCAAAATTACAGTAGCTAGCGAAACGCGGTTTTCAATTTAAGATTAGGAGTAATATTGGCAACAAAATTTGTAATAACATCAAAATCAAAGTCGCAGTTTTTGAGATAAAAAAAATTGGAAAAATGCCTTTACTTTGAAACTAAAAGAACTGCCTACCAACTTTTTATTAACATATTTTAGTATGGGCGGCTATCGTGCCTCCTGGCGCCAATTTTTTATTCATGTTATTGTGCGTGTCATTCCAAAGCGAGTCTTATTATAGTAAAAATGTTGAAAAACAGTGACAGTGTTCTCTAAAGATGCGAGGTATTTACTCGCCAACAGCAACTTTCTCCTTTGAGTCTAAAAGAGTTTTTAGAAAGGAATTTTGCAGGAGCGTGAGAATGAGCCAAAGTAAACGCAAAATACCAGCCAGATGCTCCTAAAGAGAGAAAGAGATAAAAAATGGTCGGTGAAATGTCGGCGATCGTCTTTGCCGGCCAGTCAATCAAAAAATTTAAAAGTCGTACCTTTAAAATCGACACTGACCGACTTTTTTTAGGTTTAATTATACCATAACGGTACAGGACTACATATTACAGGACGAACACAAACATAGATTTATTCTAACATCTGTAATGGTTTTTGCTTATGTAATTTATCATGTTCTTATTTAATTTATCATCTCGTCTTAGTTTTGTTTATAAATACCGAAAAAAAACTATGTATATACACTGTGCCAATTTTAAAACTTCCCACCCTTAATATCTTTCTTGCACTTAAAAATATGAAAAATCGGAAAGACACGTCAATTTTATTTGTAAGGGGATACTTTAAATTAATATTTTTAACCTTTTTCTTTCAACCCCCTAGGGGGTTAGATGTCACCTTAACAATCTTAAATGGGAATGGGGGTCACGTGGCACATCGTTTTAAAGGGCGTTTAATTCTCTTTTCAGTGGTATCCTACTTTTTTGCTTTTTGTCCAGTGGTTTCCGGATAATCGCGTTTCAAAGTTGCAGAAGCAATTAAACATGCCTGGATTGAGATTTTGGTTTTCAGGCTAGTGTTTACACAAAAATTATTGCAGTGGATCTCCTTGTAGTATAAATGATTAAAAGATTAGGTTATAGCACACCATCTAATAAGTTGTTCAAAATATTGTCCATTTTAAGATTATCAATATCATTAGGTTGTGTTTTATAAACAATGGATTTAAGATGTCCCCAAAAAAAGAAGTCTAAGGGTGTTAAATCCGGTGATCTTGAAGGCCATTCAATTGGTCCCCTTCTGCCAATCCATGTACCCGGAAATCTCGCGTTTAACCACTGTCGAACCGAAAGTAAATAATGAGGTAGAGCCACCGTCCTGCTGGAATGCTAACAAATCTTCCTGTAAAACTGGATTACCCTCTGCATACATTTGAGTTTCTAGCTCTTGGGTGATAAAGGATCAATAGTATCTTGAAGCATATTAAGGCCATATTAATGCCAAACATTAACTTTCTGGGGATATTGTGTATGTCCTTCTCGAAAAATATGCGGGTTTTCGTCATTCCAATATCAACAATTTTGTTTGTTTCATTTCCATTTAGAAAAAATAAACATTAATCGGAAAAACAGATATTCGGCACTATGTTAGGGCTGGCGTTGACTTGACGACTCATGATTTCACAAAACTCTATTCTTCTATCAAAATCACCGTCATATAGTTCTTGAAGTATCTCCATTTTGTATGGATGGAATTTATGCATTTTCAGCGTTTTTTTTTCTTTCAGTCTCGCGTGGTATTCCTATCTGTTATTCCTATGTATCTCTGCAGCAAATAATTCCAAAATCTCAATTTGAGCTCCTTCATTCATCACTCGTAGGTTATTTCTTTTTCTATTACTCACCGAATCAGTTTTGGAGAACTAAGAATATACTAGGATGTATTTCAAGAAGATATTTTAACTTCTACAGGGTGGCTCTAAAAGTGTAAGTGGATCGGGATGACTTTTTTAAATGGAACATAAAAATACTTGTATATTAGCCTCTCATTAGCCCTGTATATTTTTTGCTTCATTTCTGATAAAGACTTAATAAAACCAGTTGCTTTTTGGCACTGAGAATTTTTAAATCATTTTAGGAGAACGTGTGGGAAAATGCCCATTATGCCCGACCGATGGTGCTGGATCCTGAGTCATATGGGTGGAGGCTTCACCAAGAAATGTACATTCCAATTCTTATAACTCTTGATCCCGTCCCTAAAGCTTGCACGGATATTCTCATCTGTTACTGTGCATCCCAATGCCTGACAACAATGTGCACATGCAAGAAGAACGGGTTGAATTGCACCAAGTTGTGTCACCGTACTAAACAATGTTTGAACCTTGCATAAGCTAAACATAATATGTTACTGCTTTTTATTTTTTTTTTTTCCTTTTTTTTTAATATTAAACAATATTTGATCTCTAAAATATTCGTTTTCTCAATTTCGTCGCTTAAGTCCCAGCAAAAAAAATTCAGCGGCCATCTTGAAACCTATGCTTTCCAAACTTAAGGTGAGACTTAAGCAGACGTTAAAATCACTATTTTTAGTTAACGGACAACGGAAATATGGGAAATATACAAAAATATAGTATTTGGTCGCCATCTTGGATTCTGGACTTCCGGTCAAAATTTCGCTTTGGCAACAGGCAGATTCGTATTCAGCGAGGTCTAATTACCCTAATAACGTTGTTTTCCCACTTGTTACATGAAATGCTTCCTGCCATGTAGTTTTTTGAAAATATTCCTGCTCTATGATCACTTTACATGATCCTAAGATATTATTAAATATGTTTCGATAGTTTCAGAGATATTAATAAATAAATAAAAAGAAAAGAAGTGTTTTCACCCCTTTTTAACAAAAATTATTAAAAATACAAATTTAACACACATTTTTGACAAAAGACCTTCATAAACGACCTTTTAAACGTATCGTTTAATAGAGAAAAACAATTATTTATTACTTAATAAAACGATGAATATTTTTTTTAATAAAAACTGAATATGTAAATGTTACAATACAATAAGTAAATGTTTTCTTTATACAGGGTGGTCCGAATTGTATTCCGAAAACTTCGTTATCATATTTTGCAGCTAAAAATAAGTAAAAAACTTCGTATAAATGTATGTCCTAAAATGCTTAGTTTCGGAGATACAGGGTGTAGAAGTTTTATATTTATTTCGATTTTTTCAAATAATTTCTGAACTAACGTCAATACTTGGATGAAAATTGGTGTCTGGAAGTTTTTTGACATTAGAAATTTGATTTTGATGTCAATATGACTTCTATTTGTAGGGGGCGCCACATACATGTGTTTTAACTGTTTTGAAGACTAATAACTTTTCGTCCGTACCTGTATAAAACTTCTGAGTGAAAAAATATACATTTCCCTGACTTTTTAAGTAAAAAATGTCTCTTGGTAAAAATCTCAATGAGCAACCGTTCTCAAGATATTTAGAATGGAAAAAGTCAATACATGTCATTATTGATAGAAAATAAACATGTTGAGCACATAGTTATTTGACTAAAATGATTGATTTGACTGATGACACAAAACATTTCAAATTTATGATTTCAGTCTAATAACTATCTAGTCAACATGTTTATGTTGACTAGATAGATTATGAGAGGTATTGATAATTTCGATTCCAAATATCTCGAGAACCATTACTCGTAGCGATTTTTACCAAGAGATCTTTTTTAAGTAAAAAACGTCGTGAATGTATATTTTTTTACTCAGTAGTTTTATACAGGTACGGACAAAAAGTTATTCCTCTTCAAACCAGTTAAAAAATATTAAGGTGGCGCCCTCTACAAGTAGGAGTCATATTGACATCAAAATAAAATTTCTCATGTCAAAAAACTCCCAGACACCAATTTTCATCTAAATATTGACGTTACTTAAAAAATTATTTAGAAATAATCGAAATAAAAATGAATCTTCTACACCCTGTATCTCCAAAACTAAGTATTTTAGGACATACAACCTTTTTTACATTTTTTTTATTTGCAGAGTATGCTGCCAAAGTTTCCGGAATACAGTTCGGACCGCCCTGTATATTGTTATAATTCCTTCAGCCTTCACTGTGTCTGGACGAAGATAGGGTATGCTTGCTGAGTTTAAACATTGAAGAAGGTATAAAAAATGGAGGATCAGCGCTAGGTACTGAAATGGTGTCGTAAGATTCCGGTACTTTCGGAGCCTTCTTTTTCAAAGATCTTCTCTTAATCAAGTCTTCGAAGATGGCAAGCTCAGCATTGTATATTTCTTCAACGAAGGTTTCTTCTGATAGACCACAACAAAATATATTTTTACTTTATTATAAAATATACAATTATTATTTTTATTTAAAATTATACACTGTGTCCGAGATAAGTTGAAGTTAATTGGAATTTTTGATTCACCATTATTTTCAAATAGAAATACATATACGAGGTGGTTTTCAAAGTATTTCTCTATACCTTTTTATTATTTCAGATAATAAAAAAAAAACAGATTTAATATGTCAGTATATGATATAAATCAGGATTGATTGGCAGTATTCAATTAATTTCTGTCACCTCCTTTTTCACCAGCTATGATATCGACAACTTTTGATTTTAAATGGCACCTCAGTATTTTTACTTTATTTGATAGAAAATGACATTCTAGATAGAGAATGGCATATCGTATGTCAATGGTGACATCTTGACGTAAAAATGGTATGGTGGTGGAAATAATTGGGAAGATACGTAACTAATGTGCGAATTCGTGATAAGGCTGGTTTGATTTCCCGTTACGTCTCTAGTGCTGTACGGTGGAGCTTCCACTCGTTCTGCGACCAACGCATAAAACATATTTTCTCTAATTCAGCCAGCGAAGACATATCAAGAAGACGGTGTGGGACTGAAAGCGACAGTGTTGCCTTATTAAAATGTGTAATATCTGTAATAGGTTTGACAATATACTTTTAGATAATGATAAATCCTCGTTTATGTATTGAAAATTTATTCATTAAGATACAGAATAAACACCAAGATAAAATAAAAATTATAGGTACTAGATATATCAGGAGAATTATCAAAAGACGTTTAGTTATAATGACGATTATTGACAATTACCATAATATTTTACATATGAGATAACACAGCGATCTTTATTTCCAAAACCAGCTCCCCAGTACGCCGTTCTTTTGTATTAATCCTTATAATATTATATTAAATTGTTTAATGATAGAGAATCCGTATTATTAACGAACTGTACCAAAAATCCGTAAATCTACCCCTCTAAAGAATTAATCCACAGTTCTGGCAACACTGCTTCGAGGACAACCTCCTCTATCGACTGGAAGCGAGGCTTTGCAGGCACAGTATTCTTTCTCCGCTGCGCTGTAAAAGACTATCAGTGCGCAGCGGCGCGGCGGAGAGCTAGACTAAATCTTGGACAGGTTGACGGTAACGTCAGCTATATCTCGATAACTGAAAGAGATTTTTGTACCCTCGAAATCGCCTATAAGGTTGAGCATCTTCTTATTTCTTAATCAACAATAGTATTTTATATATCTTGAGCTATAGTGGAAAAGTGGAAAAAAGAAAAATAGATTTGATCTTCAAATATTTTTCTTGACTTTTCTGGCTGGTTAAAAGATAAATCATTTTCAAGCATCATAACTCAATTTTCCAAATGGAAAAAGACTGACTCATTAGCACATTTTACGAATAGTTTGGTACCACACACTTATATATATTTCAAGTAAAATTTAATAAAAAAAAAAAAAAAAAAAAATTGAAATTTAAAATTATCGAAAATTTATATCTCTAGATTGAAATTTAAGTATGTTTGATGTATGAGAGATAGTATATGAAATGTCATTCTATTCCTGGTAATGTTTTCGAAAAAAAAAAAAAAAAAAAAAAAAAAAAAAATACCATTTAAAAATAAAATTGTTTTTTTTTTTTTTTTTATTGTTTATGTTTTCAATGTCAAATCAATGTCAATCTTTATTTATGTCATATATATTTGGTATCAATATAAACTTTTGAAAAGTTTACCTACGTAATCGAGGGAACGATTTTTAAATTCATTATTTGCCAACCATAGACGTATTCGGCGCCGTGCTGACTAACTGGGATTTAGAATTTCCCTTTGGGGATTCAGGTGGTAGCTCCACTGTAAAATATCAAATTGTCAGATTTATTTATTTCCCTGGTGTCATTGGTTTGACACTTTAGTTTTGTATTACGAGTTTTTGGTTTAAATAAATAGTGTTGTAATACTTTAAGCTTAAAAACGTTTACTAGCAGACCTTGCAGTCGAACATTGTTCTTTTTGGAACCTCTTCTAATGCGAAGTGTACAAGAGAGCTTAATAGCCGTAAAAACCACATCGTAATTTTGTTACAATATTTTGAACGGGAAGCGGTAATAGTGGTCCCCTATCTACCTTAAGTGCTGTTGCCCATGCAGAGAGTCCCCGTAGTTTCCTGGCAGGCTAAGCGTGAGAAGCCCAGTCAGGGAAACAGACTTCAGCTTGCCTGGATTGAATACAGCTGGGAAATCAAGTTTTAGCTATCTCTTAATTCACCCAACTTTGGTCCAACACTGGGGATCTCAGCTCTGGACATGCTACGGCGACCCAGTTTTGAACCAGAATTGGTTAACAAAGCCTGGACATTTTTTGGTGACATTTTTTAGACTTATTTAATGCTCAATCCTAGTCGTTGCCATCTCTTAATTCACTTAAGATTTGGCCACACACTGGGAATCTCAGCTCTGGCCATGAGCTTTGAACCAGAGTTGGTCAACCAAGCCTGGACCATTTTTTGGTGATTTAGACTTGGCTAACACTGGGAAATCGAGTCTTGCCCATCTCATTAAATCACCCAACTTTGGTACATCACAAAAAATAATTTTTATTTATATTTTATAATCTTGTTTGTAAACAAATACTTCATAGCATTGATAATATTTGAATTAACGCCAATAGAGGGAGTCATTAAATCCTTGGTTTGTTTTTGATGGCCGGTAGATTGGGATTTTGTTAAGAACTCACCATAGATATCTGTAACGTACTTGACGTGCATTTTCTGTTTGGAGCTTACCAATTTGAGGTAGACTACCAAAGTCGTCCTGATGATGGAGTATAACTCCGAAACCGGTCAACGAATGGGTGGCCTCCTTGGCCTGACCACAAAATAGGAATCAGTTGATTCCTATTTTGTGGCTTGACAAGCTTTAAACAGAAAATTCGCACATAAAGCAGGTTTAGGGCTGTTAAATTCTTTTCTCAAATCTAATCCAAATATATAGATGTAATTATTTGTGTAAACTTTATTCCCAAATAGCTTTGGGGATCAAAATTGGCCTAGTGTTGGTGATTAAGTTTGGCCCAACTCTGGTAATCATGCACGGCCCAGCATTGGTGATCGAGCTTGGCCCGATTTTGACCACCAAGCCTGGCACGATGTTATCATTCCATTTTATTCCCAAAGCTGGGCCAAGACTTGTATGCATAGTTGGACCAGATCTTTACAGTACTGAACCAGTCCCGTACCAAGACTGGGCCGATGGTTTGATCCTGTAAGAGTGACCGAAAATAATTCAATACGTCAATCAATCTGGATTTATATCCTTATACTAACATAGCAACATGATACCAACTAGCGTTCTTTTGTTTGAAAAAATAAAATATTGTTATTTTACCATGTTTTTTTTTATACCTATATATAAAAAAGGTTCAAAAAATCGTTTGACTAAACTTTTTAAAAGCTTCCGTTAAACCTACTCAGTCTCTTTTTGAAACATTCGATTCAAAAGTTAGGTTTATAAACTTATAAACTAATCCAGCCCACAAGTTATTTTATTAAGGCTGTTCTAAACTAGCGCGATACAGTTACACCAATTAAACGTAATTTACAGCCTAGACAACGCCCTTGATCACAGTACCTGCTGAAGATGATTAATGATAATTGTAGTACTTTATTTATGTTAAAACTGGCCCGGCATTATTAGTATAGACCATTAATTATTTGATTTCCTACCGTGACCTTTTTTCCCACAGACGTTTACGATGGCAGTGAATTTTATATTTGAATATTTTTTTTTTTTTTTTTTTTTTTTTTTTTTTTTTTTTTTTTATTTTAAAATATTACACTTTTTCTATGGTTTTATAACTTTCTAACGCAAAGGGTATACTAAAATATTGCAACCATGGAGCCTTATACACAGGGTGCTTCAAATTTACGAGCATTGGTATCTCAGTAACCATGTATACTCTGTTTTTTCTCAAGGTAGAATTTCGACAGACGATGACAGAAAAGCAGATGACGTCTATACAATCTATTTATTTTACTAAAAAGTTTCTAATAATTTTTAAGTTAACTATGGATTAGTTTAAATGAAAATAAACGTGATCTCTTGTTGTTTTTAACCGAGGTTTTATTGGTTTATTTCAAAAATGACAGATCGTATTTCAATTTTATTGGTTCGACAGGTTGATAATGAACGACAAACGGACGATGCGTATGAACTCGCCCTTGGAACTCGCCTTTAGATTTTGGAGGCTTGTTAAAGTCATGCCGCAAATTATAGGTTATAATTTTGTCAACTTTGAACTTTTGTCAAATACCCTGCGTTTTGGAAAATGATGCACATTGATTCGTGTTATTACGTGTATTTTGTGTCTTTTGAAGTAAATTGGAGGAAAAATCGAGTGAAAATTAAATGTAGACCAAGAGCACAGTTTATAGTTAATACTCCTTGCCCAGGCAGAAAGTCTTATGTACTAATAAATTTACCATCAATAAAAGTTCGTATACCATCTCGTAGATAGAATTGCATCTCGAATATGGTAGAAGGACCATACTAAACACATACTAAAAGCTGGAGTAGCTGTAAATATCGACATCACACGATGGGTAAATAATGGATTTTAATTGCTGAAAAATAGTAATCAAAAGTTACTGGTTTAAAAAAAATTGAGTTAAGTTTAATTAATCAACCTTTGAGGGTATAAAATTTGGTAGGGTTATTGTATTAATGGAAATAGTTTGTTTTATTTATGTTGTTTTTATTTATTCCTGTGGAATATTACAAATTCAATATTTGAACATAAAGTTGTATTGTTAAATATAATCATAAATGGGAAGTTAAAAAGCTTGAAAGTAGAAATAGTTCTTTTTCGCTTTTGGTATGTGGTGTCTTGTTCTTGTTTGTTTTGTATTAACACACATACCGTTTTTATTAAATAAAATAACTCAGTTATATTTTTTCAGTTTTATACAGTTTCAATATTTTGAAGTAATCACTTGTCAGTCAAATTTTCCTTGTCAATTTCACACTCCTATGCGTTCAACTTGTACCAACTTATTTCTTTGTAAAATACAATAAACTACTTTGAAATTAAAATGACAGAAACATCTATCACTGTCAAAGGATCTTCTGTTGGACAGACTATAGATATGAATATGATTAAATAGAGACAAAGTTACGCTTTGGGATGTTCACCAAGATGAACTCGGTCCACCTGAATACAAGGGTATGCCACACTTAACATATTTTTTTTTTTTGTTTTACACATTTTGTTATATTTTTAAAAATTTATTTTAACTAATTTCAAATTAGCTCTATTTTTTTTTTTAAATTTAATCTATTCATTTGTTACAACTTGTTGATTAGCTTTCAAACCTGAGCTTTCAACAATGACGTGGGGTAAAACATTGAATAAGAAAAATCAAATCCGATAAAATAATAAAAAATAATATAAAATAAATAATATAAATATAATATCATATAAACAATCAAATTATTTCCCCGGAACATGAATTGGAAACGGTAGAGGGTAGAGAGCAATTATAATGGACAGCAAAGTTCCTGTCACCAAGGGGCAAAGAGTGTGCTTACTACGTCATTTTGTAAAAGTGGAAATCAATACATTTCAACATTTTGCAAATAAAGAGTTACAAAATGCATCTGGAAATTATAGAGAAATTTGTTCAAGAACTATAAATGGGGAATTGAATGAAAATAGAATTGCTACAGGAGGGTGAAACCCTTTCGAGCATGTATAACATTAGAAACCAGTTTTTAGAAGTTCATTTATTTATAATAACTACGATTAATATGATGCATATTATTAGATCGTAGACAAATATTTCAAATTCACAATAAAAAATTAAAATAATATCTTTAAATTGCTGACCTGGATGTATTTATTTGGATCTTTCAATTGGCTGGATTTTCCTAATTCAATGTTAATTAGCATGATCAATATCATTGAATATAGATATAATCAGATTAAATTATTCAAAAACCAGAGGCAGACTTGACATTATTTTAAAATAATAATTAAATAGTTTATTGTTAAAGATTTACCCAAAGACAAAAAAAAAGTATAAAAGTGTAGCAGATCATTGCACTCCAAGGAGACCGAGTTCTTTGGAAATCCACAAATAAAAATGCAGGTCCCTGTTTAAAAAAATTAACTTGATATCTGTATGTCAGAAATTATCAGCTAATTTGAAATCTAAAAATACTATCAGATAGCCATAATAAAATGGCTGTGAGAATGTACAGCTGGTTCCAACAAAAATGAATACGACTCTTTACACATTTTTTCCAGATATTCAGGCAGTGTATATTTATGTGTCAAGTATTTTAACATGTTGGGTTATTACAAAGAATATACCTAGCTAGAAAAGATAGAGTCTGTCATACTGAAAAATGGTCCTAGAGAAGTGGCGCCATCTATTGAGTAGAGCTTGTCTTAAATGGATCAAAGCGTATTTGTGAATTTTGCTCCTAAAATAATTAAATTTGATTATTAAATCTTATTTTTACACCAATTCAACATTACTAATAACAAGTATCGTTGTGATGTGTAAAAAATAAGATTTACTGGTATAAGAATTTATACAATTATTAATAAAATTAAAGCCAAACGTAATGTAAAATGTTATTTATTATTTAAAAGTTTTTATTTATAAGTCAAATAGGTATTTAAACATCGTTTATTATAACAAAACAAAACCAACGTAATACGCCCAAAGTTTTGTAATGGAGTAAATATAAATAGGTACTTAAATGATGGCAAAATAAAGACATTTACATTTTTTAGGGCCACAAACAAAGGGAATTGTCTAATAAGAAACACATATAACAAATTATAGTTTGAAAGACGTTTTAATAATCATTTTTTGATGATTGGCGCTATGACAACGACAATATTTTTTGAGAATTTGACAATGGTATGACAATGGCCGTTTAGAGCTATAGAACCTACAAAAAAAATCTGATTGACCATAAATCTGGCAATATACTTAATTGTAATTTCTTAACCCTAAAAATTATTTACTTTTTTTTTTTTTTTTTTTTTTTTTATTTTATTTGAGATTTCCATGGAAACAGTGGAATCGGTTTTTTCTTCCACTTTCAGCCCCCTAGGTTATGTGACATTGAATAAAACAACTTTGCTCTTGACAAAGTGGCAAATAAACTTTTCAGAGTGTCCAGCATGACATGAGTAAAAGAAATGGAGGACTAGTACTTTAATAGAAATTTGGCAAAATGCTACTTGAAATAATAAAAATATGTTTTAAATCATTATTCAATTTTTATTTGGAACCAATGTACAATTAGTTTTTGATTTTCTAAAGAGGAACGACAGGAAAAAATAAAATTGATTTTCAAAATCATTTTTTTTTTTGAATTTCAATCTAGAGTTTAGAATTTTTAAAACTTTTTTGATGGCATCTTGGTGAACATCCCAAGGCCCAACTTTGCCACAATTTAACCATCCTCGTGTCTTTTACGGTTTCCGAGACACCAATGATCGTACCCCGAATTTGTAGAACCCTGTATAAAAGATATATAAACATTGAAAATGTTAGAATATAGAATGAATGGGTGGGGGTTGTAGAATATAGAATGAGTGCGAGATGGGTTAATCATCGCGACTTGTTGCACCGATCTATAGTGTCCCCCTTTCTTGAGTTATAACTCACCATATATGAGGATTTATCTGTTATATGGGGTCAGGGTATTTCCCAACCTTCTCTGGACAACAAATGTTCTTCCTCCGAGGGTATACACCTTTTCATCCCATAATTGGGAGGATTAATGGGAATGGGGGATGGGTTAATCGCCGCGACCTTACTCTTACTGTATCTATCTAACCTATTACTCTCTCCTCAATGAATTCTTTAGTAGACTAAAGCTGAGAAACAACGGTGAATGCAGATTCTGTGCTGAACATAGGGAAACACTGAATGTGCCGAGACGAAAACCATTGATGTCATAAACTTTGGTACGACTGATATCGGAGATGGAGGACTAACCTCTGCAAAACCTCTCCATATACTGGCTTTTATTAAAGCCCTGAGACTGTATGATGAGTTATAACTCAAGAAAGGGGGACACAATAGATCATTAAGTCACGGTGTTTAACATCTACTCTCCCATCTCCAATATACAATCTATAATCAACTCAAGATACAAAGACCGTGTGACAAAATAATTAATGGAAAGCAGTACTGGTTTAGTGACAGTTATATTATACCTTCCTCTGAATATTCAGGATGTTCGTTAAATGAACAAATAGCCAGAGTTTGCATCGCAGTAACGTATTGAGCTGGTTCCACAAATCCCGATTTCATGTGATCCATCAAATGGAACAACTGGTGAATGTGCTTCTTGTCAAATAATAAAGGAGGATTACTCATACCCGATCTAAAATATTTATAAAAAAAATTAATCGTGTAAAATTTAATTTTTTAATTGTTTTGGTGCTAGCGATAACACCTTAATCTTTGAATAAAAAGATTAAAGAAAGAGTATATATGCGATCCATGCATTTATGCATAGTAGGCGGAAAGAGAGCCCTACCCAAGAAGCATTTTTTGTTTTATAAGTGTGTTAGAAAACTTCCCAACACCATATTATACCACCTAAACGCATCTAGAATGGTTGTCGTCAGTTATTGGTAACCATTATATAACACTTATATGCCCTAAACGGTCCATTTTATAACTGTTCCTATGGTAACCCTTAACACTCAAGGTGTGCAACCAAGGTTCTGAAAACTTTCTCAACACCTTTATAGATATATCCTATCGAGTTACCACTGTAAAACTGAAAAAGGGTATATAATAGTTATATAGTGGTGTTGAGAAGGTTCCTAGACCTCTATAGAAATATCGCGCATGCGCGTTTTTTTGAAAATAAACGTGTTTCTTTCTGACTAACTACTTTAATATTTGTCTCTTTTTTTAACATAAAAATTGTCCTACGCAGATAACCCAGACCAGACACAAAAGAGACAAAATGATGCCATCCCTGTCATAGCCTACAAAAGCGTTTGCGTTAAGCACATGACTTTATAGAAATTACTGGCTTAATAAAATCTATTGTGCCTAGAGTACTAAATACATATGCGATATAAAATTTACTGTGTGAAAATCAATTTTACCTCCAAAAAACACATGCGCCCCCAAAAGCAGAATTATTTAATAGATTTTTTTATAAACAAAAAAATATGGTAAAATTTTTGTAATGAAAGTCAAATTTATTAATATAAATAATAGAACATACGACTTTTTTAATACATAGAAATAACTGGCAACTGGCCAAAATATAGTTTTGTACCAGTTTTCAACGTTATCTCAGAAATACTCATTGTAGCCAAAAATGAAGACATCAATAATAATGGCGTCCATTATATTTAAAGTGCTATATATTACTTTAGGGTCTATAACATACTCATCAACCATTATATAAATTTGGTTACTTAAGGTTGCCTAAATGAGTTTGGGTTATTTAAAACACCAATTTTAGTGTTTTATACAACTAAAGGTGATACGAATCACCATTATAAATGCCGGGGTGTTTATGGCTACTTTTAGTCACCCAGAAAACCTTTATGTAACCCGTGGTGTCGGCTGTAGTGACTCCCTGCGAACGAAGTTGTTGAGACCTGTTTTGGTTTTGGTTCAATTTGATCTATATTTAAAGTGGTAGGAGTTTGCAAAAGAGTTCTAGGGGCCTTTGGTACTTTGGTAGAACAGTTATGAATGAATTTACTATAGAAAAAAGCTCTTTAAGTGCAGAATGTGTAATGGTAAAGCGCAGAGCTCATTCTCTTATGTTAGAACGAAGCCTTTCCTCCTTACCACATTCATTAATAGGGGCTTCTTCTTCTCTCTCCCTTAACCAGACCTCTTCCTGTTCCTGATCGTTTTGGCAACTTTCTGTTGGAAATATCTCAGGTTGATCCTGATCTCTGCTTGTGGATGGTAAATTTGCATGTTGGCTTTCAATATTGGTAGATGTAGTTTGAATGAGGTTTGGATTATTCCTATTTTTTTTAAATTCTGAAAAACCTTTCTTTTGAACGTAGATGTATTTTTGTGTTTTATCCAGTTTATTTTTTTATTATTCATTATAATACCGAATTGCTTGCTTGCTAATATATTATTTGATTTGATTATATTAAAAATTTGAGGTTAAGTCATTAGGTTTGATATTTGGGAACTACAGGTTATATAAAGCATGCAAACATTTGAAAGGTGCAAAAAACGATTTGAGGGAACAATTATATAATTTGTAGTATTATTGGTTACATAATGGTTACACAACAATAACACCTTTAATTTTATGGTGTATATCTTGCGTATCTTTATAACACCTAATACCAGAAGTTATATAAAATAGATGCGAACACACCTTTAGAAACCTTTAGAAACAAGCAACAAAACACCTTTAGAAAACCTTACTATGAAACCTTTAGTAACAAGAACCTGCAGTGTTATAAGGAAAGTGATAAACAACATTTCAAGGTTACTATTAGTGATAAGTAACCAACGCTACACTTATATAATTTAAAACACTGTAAGATACCAATGAGACATTTATTAAACCTTTATATAACTAACCTTGAAAATATATAACCTAAAGGAACTTAAAATATTACTTGGGTAGGGTGGGGATTCTTGACAGTTCTGTTTGATGATTTATGTGGGTTTGATGATTTTTGTGGGTTTGTCAGACTTTACTGAGCTTATTTTTGTTATTTATTATTTATTCTCATACTGATATTGTTTAAAGGTAGTAAATCTAGAAGGAAATTGTGATAGAACTTAAATTAACAGTGACACTATTGCAATTTATTGAAAAAGACTGTAAATTAGTTGGTTGTGTAGCGTGCGGTAGTATCTCGGTCATAAATCGAGGGAAATAATGAAATAACTTTTCACTAGTAAGTGACTATATAATATACATACCTGTAGTAAACTGATCATTTATGAAATTTACTTAAAATTAACTAATTATATATTTTTTCCTTATTTTTTCTTGCATTTTTGCTTTTATTTACTACTTGTCAAAGACTAGATGTCAAAGAATTTAGATACATCAATTTGACTTACCTGCTACAGTATCGTATCGGATGTTTGTGTTAATAAAAAATAATTAATATAACTTATCTATTTTTATTAGAATTATATATTTTTATAAAACTTTTAATAACTACCAACATTTATTGACAACGTAAAATAAAACAACAAATTATTGAGTCTATCCTACATCATATTTTTACACGTTTTGAATAAAATTAGAACGGCTCTGATAAACCGTAATTTAAGTTGGCCATTTTAGGGGTCCGTCGTGTTAGATCTAAGATTTTTGATATGCTCCTTCCTTAATCTTTTTATTCAAAGACCTCAATAAATATTCGTGGTTCTTAATTTTATTGCCAACGAACCAAGTAATATCAGAATAAGCTTGTTTCATCTAGGTAATAAAGTTTTAATATTCACATTTTACCTGTATAACAAGCACTGATTGATCAGCTTTAAAATAAACTCAATAGGATTATCAGCCTTGGCACTCAACAAATGTGCAACAATAAACTGAAAAAATTCGAAAATTCTGTGCGATCTCAGATATTGCTGAGACTCTCTTATCGACTTGGATGTAGAATACTTGAACGCGTCTACTGATTCCGCTTCACCAATTTTGTATTCAGATTTCACCGATAATTCTTCTTCAGCAGCACTGTCTATACCTACAACAAAAAGGAATATCTTTATGGTCTGACATTATCCTTAAGTATCCTTTTAATTAATTTCTAATTTGCTCAAGTGACCCATACCGGGTTGCATCGTCGGACGGGACATAGGAAATCCCATGTAAATTTTAATGGGGTCAATTATTGGCTTCCCTAATTATTTTAGAGAATAATTCTATTTAGGTTTATTAAAGAGCACTAAAACCCACATTCAAAAAAGAATAACTTTAGAAATTTTTGATTAGCTCGTTTACGAGTTATCGCCGATTTCTTTTTAATATTATTTACTTATGAGCACCAGTCAAGGGCCAAAGAAAACTGAATGAAGTTGTCATTTCAGAAATTTACCTATTTAGTGCTTTATTATTATTGAAAACTCATTCCTACATCGGAAATCTTAAAGATGTATTTATAAATACAAATTAATATGAATTAAAGTAAAATAAAGTAATCAATTACAAGGTTAATTATAGTATTATTACAATAATCAATAACTTATTAATTTAGGTACTATTAAATTGTTAGAACTTTAGGATTTAAGAAGATGTTCAAATATTCCTCCATCGACTGCTAAACAATAACCAAGGCGATCATAAAATTCTCTTCTTACATTCGCTAGTTGGTAAAGTGAAATTCTATTACATTCGGCAGAAATAGCATTTTTTTAACTCGTCTAGATTTGGGTATTTTTTATCCTTGTATATTCTGTTTTTTAAATGGCCCCAGAGAAAGAAATCATTTGGCGAAATATCAGGAGACCTTGCTGACCAATTTACTGTATGATTTAGGCCAATAATGTTTCCGTTAAAAGTATATATTCTAAATATTCCCGAACAGCCAGGGTACTATGTGCCGGGCAGCCATCCATTTGGTACCAAACTTCCTGATTTTCCCTAGCGGCATCATGTAAAGCAGGTAAAATATGATTTTCGAGTAGTTCCAAATAATATTCTGCATTTAAATTTCGCGTAAGAAATAATAGCCCGATAATATTGTGTCCAAATATCCCTGCCCAAACATTTACTTTCTAAAAATATTCTTAAATATTGCGTCCTTGTTTCGACAAACCTGTGTTGGTTTTCTTTATTCCAATATCGATAATTTTGAACATTGGGTTCATTATTTAAGGTAAACGTGCGTTCGTCACTGAAACATAGGTTTTTTAAAAATTCGCTATCCGTGTTTGCTCTTTCCATCATATCAAAACAAAACGCCTGCCGCCGTATTTAGTCCCCATCTCGTAGTTCTTGGCGCTTTTCATATTTGAAGGAATAGTATTTAAGTCGTTTCAAAATTCGAAACGCGTGTGATCTATTCCTATTTCATCCTCAAGTTTCCATCATTGTGCTGATCTTTCCATCGTTCTCTTCCACGCACAATAAAACTTCCAAGTCGGTATCATTTCTTGCATCTTCTCTTTGCTCCTGCCTTGCTTCACATCTGGAATTATTTATTAGGGTACCATTGGTCTCAAATCTCTGGAAATTCCGTGCGATTGTAGATTTTCCAGGTATCAGTCTATTCGGATACAGAGCAGCAAACATGTCCGACAACTTTTGATAACTATTTCCTTGATAATACCATTTAATCATCAATACTTTTTCTTCGATAGTGTAATTCATGGCTAATATTTTCGATGTAGGTATGAGATTTTAATAATAATAATAAAGCACTAAATAGATAAATTTCTGAAATGACAACTTCATTTGACAGTTATCTTTTACCTTGACTGGTGCTCATAAGTCAATACAGGGCCATAAGAAAGGAGAAATATTTAAAAAGAAATCGGCGATAACTCGTAAACGGGCTAATCAAAAATATCTAAAGTTATTTTATTAATTATTCTCTAAAATAATTAGGGAAGTCAATAATTGACCCCATTAAAATTTACATGGAATTTCCTATGTCCCGCTCGACGATGCAACACCCGGTATGTTATAACATGCGAGTGCCATACAAAATTTTATCCAACAGCATAACTGTTTCATGTCCAATCTCTAAAGAATAATTGATTTAAAAGGATCTACCAGTTCTACTTTCATTGATGCGGATTAATAAATTATCAGGGTGCGTTTATGTTACTATGCAATGTACGTTTCGATTTTTGTAAATAATAAACAGCACTGTAAGCATTAACAGCATTAAGATGTCGTTTAGAAAAATCGGGATTTTTTAACGATAAAATAGTGAATTATCAACCTGCAAGTCAGATTTTAAAGAAAAATGATTCAGGAAGATCTTCCGCACGAAATTATTAACCAGGCAGAGGCGGCTACAGCACAAATACTGCCAGAAAAGTATCTATAAAATTTCTATAAAATGGTGTGGCTTTGAAGCTATAACAAGACTATAACACACTAGTTTGTTATAACTTCAAAAACTCACGCGTGTATTACTATTTATTTTATATTCATGTACAGGGTGGTCGAAATTGGTCTGTTTTAACAGAAAAAACCTATTTCCTGACTAGATAGAGCAAAACCGACATAGATGTCATGGGCTCGATTTCTGAGAAACGTTTAATGGCCTAAACCGCCTGTTCATATTTTCACTGCCAACCGATATACGGAGTCTTTTTGAATTTTTTACCATTTGGAAAATTGCCCATAACTTTTGTATTTCCCGCAATAATAAAATTCTGTAAATACGTTCTTAAGGCACTTTTTTAAGCACAATCCAGTGGCGTAGTCAGTTTTTTTCTATACTTGTTTTTTTAGTCAGAAATAATAAAAAATATAATTTTTTAAATGGAAATCATAGTTGGCTATGAACTTAAAAAAATGCTGGCGTTTAACCCTTTCCAACGATATATAGTTATGTGTATCTATTTCTAAAAATGAGAGAAATATTACGTTTTTTATCTTTGTATCGAAGTGGGCCTTGATTTTGTATTGGGCTTTGATCTATAGTTACCTAATTATTTTTTATCACAATTTAATATTCTATGTCATTATTTATTTGCATAATTAAAGACTTTTGAAAAGGTAAATCAACGTTCTATATTAGTATTACCATTTACAATTAAAAAGTCATTGTTACAACTGCACTATTAAATGGAGAATTTAGAGAGAATTGGATTGGAACAACGGATCCCATATCTTGGCCTGCTAGGTCCTGTGATGTAGCTCCTTTTGGCTTTTCTTATGGGGGAAATTAAAAGGCCCTATATATAAGGGAAGAATCATTGGGACAAGAGAAGAATTACACACTGAAAAAAAGGATCTCTCAGTCGAAATGAATATGACTTTGACCCAAAAGATTAGCGCTTTTCAATAGGGCCAAGAACGACGTTTCTTTGTCCAAAGCATTAACTATCTTTTCATAAGCTTTAAAAAATTACTTTAGAGAATAGATGAATCTCTCTGTCCAAAGTATTTCACTTTTGACCCAAAATGAATATGCAAAGAAGTTCTTGCTACAAGAACAATAGTCTCTTTGATTCATGCAAAAATTCTTGATTGAAAAGGGACCATTTCTTTATTAAAGAGACACTTTCCTTAAACCAATAGCAAATAATATTGACTCAACTAAAATTTATTTTGATCTAAGAGAAGTCTATACATCATATACAGGCATATTACGAGGTATATTATTTTCTGATAAATTTAGGTTTTCCTGGTCTGTAGTAAGTAAAGTGATATTATTTTCCTCGATAGTAGTTATTTCTGCTTCTTCATTCCTTGGTATTTTTTGGGGTGGTTCATCACTCTACAAATTACAAAGATATGTTACATCACGATTTCAAAGTAAAGCAAATAAATTATTAAAATTATAGGCTTTGGTAACATTTTGAATTTTTTAATACGACGACTTGAAATTCTAAAATTTTTGTAATTATTTGCATAAAAAAATCGATACCTATATTCTTATTCTATCTATAGTCACACATGCATTATCTAAACAGGTGCATTAGGTAAATGTCTCTTACCTTCAAATATAGCAAATAAATGCTCTAATTTCCATTTTTCTGAAACTCCTTTAAAGAATCCATATATCCTAAAATTTGACGATAAAAAATGACAAATGCATGTTAATAACGATCACTAATTTGTTATACGATATGCGTTTAAAAAGCAAATTATGCAAAATTCCAAGTGAAAAATTCCAAGCAACAAAACCCGTGCGTACTATGATGTACGACTGATCGGACTGCCGACTGATTGTCTATATCCCGTCCTTCGTCATCGTCTTTGCGTGTTGTTATTATTTTTCATCAAAAAAGAGTATTTAGCTAATGGAAAAATGACCATGTTTCTTGAATGAAGTACTTCCTAGCGTATTTTTCTTATTATCTTAAAACAAAGTAACTTGCACTTGGTTGAATGAAAATAGATTCAAGAGAAATTTTCTGAATTTTTTCAAGAGAACTAGTTTTCTTGAGTTAAAGTTTTTCTTCAGGCAAAATATTTTCTTTTACGCTAAAATAAATTCTCTTGCCACTAAATTTTTTTTCAAGAACGATGACGACTTTAGTTCAAGTATATCTTTTTTATCAGTGCAGAAGGCTACTAGGCAAGCTTTTGGACTTATTACACCAGTTCGCCTAATAACTTGTTGTAACTCTGTGCACAAAAGATGTTTATTGTGTATTCAAGAAGGGGTGCTCAGTTTGAACATCTTTTGATGATTTTTTCGAAAACTCTATTCGTCACTCAAAAATACTTTTTTTTTTTAGTTTTATTCTTTGTTTATTGTATCGATTTCAATTGTAATTACTAATACTAATATAGAATGTTAATTTGCCTTTTCAAAAAGTCTTTAATTTGCAGATAGATAATAATATAGAATATTAAATTGTGATAAAAAATAATTAGGCAAATAGGTCAACACAAAATCAAAGCCCGCTTTGATATAAACATCAAAAACATATTTCTCTTATTCTTGTAAAATAGATGTCTATAACTTTAGATCATTGGAAAGGGTAAAACGCCAGCATTTTTTAAGTTCATAGCCAACTACGATTTCTATTTATAAAATTATATTTTTTATTATTTCTGACAAAAAGAGCAAGCATAGAAAAAACTGACTACGCCACTGGATTGTGCCTAAAACTGCCTTAATAACATTTTTACAGAATTTTATTATTCCGCAAAATAAAAAAGTTATGGACAATTTTCAAAATGGTAAAAATTCAAAAAGACCCCGTATCTCAGTTGGCAGTGCTGACGCCATCAAACGTTTCTGAGAAATCGAGCCCATGACATCTATGTCGGTTTTGTTCTTATCTAGTCAGGAAATAGGTTTTCTCTGTTAAACAGACCAATTTCGAACCCTGTATATATGTGAGTAATGTCTGGTATAAGTAGTGGCTGTTGGATAAACATATTTTTCTCTCTCTCAAGAAATGTTTTACCTAGCAAATAATCCAATTGTTTCTTGCTTCCGTGAAGTTTGTCGGTGAGCGATGAATCAGTTTGAGTCAGCAAATCACTGGTTGATCTAGGCGACTGGTCATCTGTTGATACCGTTAAAGTACCAAGTTCAGCAGCTAGTTCGGCTTTCTCCTTTCTTTCTTCCTCTCTCAATATAGACAATCGAACTAAAACAAAAACCAAGTAAAGAATGAAGATAGCAATATCTGAATTCATTTAAAACAAACAAAATTAACTTCCTACGTTTTGAACCTACTGTTTTCGTCTCTCCATAACTTCCTCAATTCCCATTTTTTTCGTTCTTCCTGTGACATGTTCACCAATCTTTGAAAAAGAATCAACGTTTCTCATTCCGGAAACCAGTGACCAAAATCGAAGCATCTTTATGTAGTTTTGGTTCATCCATGTCTTCACCGACTTGCTCCTGGTCAACGTTTTTGTCTTCAAATAACTTAGTACCTTTAACCTACAGAGGAAGAAAATATGTATTTAAAGTAATTGTTTTACTTTTAAATGAATCTTTGCTGTCTCTTGTCAGTAAAAGCATATTATTCAAACCAAGTAGCATTTTTGGACACATTTTAGATAATGTTTCTAATAATCGTGTCTCTCTCTACTTCTTGACACAAAATGGAAACGGTATGTAAGAAATAGGAAACATTTTCGAAATCTATATATTTTATATGGCTTTGTTACATGTGTTTCCAATATAGTGGCACTATAGCCGTTACTTGAAATGTTTCGATGCGGAAATGTTTCAAAACTTTTTCTGAAATTTGTGTCCAAGATGTTCCCGTTTTCAGCAGCCACTGTTTCTAAAGGAATAATCGTGTCTGTTTCTTGACACAAAATAGAAACGGTATGTTACAAATAGGAAACATTTCCGAAACCTATATATTTTATATGGCTTTGTTACATGTATTTCCAATGTGGTGATACTAGCCCTTTCTTGAAATGTTTCGATGCGGATCAAAACTTTTAGAGGAAATGTTTCGAAACATTTTCCGCAATTTGTGTCCAAGATGTTCCCGTTTTCAGCAGCTACTTTTTCTAAATGTGAAGAAATAAAATACCAAACTAAAATAGTCTGTGTCTGTGTGTGAATTTCAAAATTAAAACAACCATCAACAACAATTAAAGTCTTTGTTTTTAGGTTTTCTCGCTCAAAAAATGTCTGGCAAAATTCATCCTTTAATTTAATAATGTACTGTCATACTTTTAATGCCCCTACTAATTATCATAATTTGTTGGCACAAAGTATTTTTGTTTGAAATATAGATTTATATTTTTCCGAGGACGCGTTTTTATGATTTCAAAAGCTCAACAGCCGATAAAAACATATATTTTTAGTTAAAATCGCTATAACTAGCCAACATGGCGGAATTTTAATTCAATATTTTATAAAATTGACATGGAGTCAGGCCCAAATCATCTACATTATATCATATCTCTGTCTAAAAACAGAGAAACTCGTGTTTCGAAAATGAATCTACAATAAATGGAAACCTTGTTTACAAAATGTTTCGATTTAGCGCTATCTGTGTAGAAATTTCGATTTAGTCACCTGTCAACAATGCCCATCAAAACTTCTAGTCAAAATGATTAAAACATTTTTATTTACTTATTATAACACAATTAAAACATAAAAACATTTATTCCATTATGGAAAAAAGAGAAAAAAAAGTTTGCTGGTAACATTTTTCTTCGGTCTCTTGTTGGGTATGGGTAGTGGCTGTTATTACATTTATTCCTAAAACAAATCATCTCTGTAATGCCTATAATAAATAATAAAATCGCATAAGAAAAATATCTGTATTTGTACTCACTATATGTACTCACCTTCTGCTTTTTTAATTATAGCATAAAAACCTGAAGAATGCTTAAATGCGAAAACTGCAAAACAAAATCCAAACAATAAAGTAAGATTATGTTCTCATATTTGACAGAATATCAAATAAATTATGGAAACTTTTCAAGCACAAAACGGGTACGAAATCTTTGTAAATGTGAGCCACATCTGTTTCTTAAAAGTTTCGAAAAATTTGCCACACTAAAGATATTTATTGTTATAGCTTATGTAAATTATGGACACTTTTCAGGCCCAAAACGGGTACGATCTCTTTGTAAATGTGAGCCACATCTGTTTCTTAAAAGTTTCGAAAAATTTGTGTCACTAAGATCTTTATTGTTATAGCTTATGTACCGAAACCATATTTTGGTATAATGTTTCGAAACAAAAAGCGATTTATGTTACGAAACATGAGTATCAAAAATGTGACAAAATTGTATAGCAATGTTTCTCAGCAGAGATTTTGTTTCGATTTTGTGCCTAAAAATGCTACTTGGGGGTGATCCGAATTGTATTCAGGAAACTTCGGGGGCCTACTCTGTAGATAAAAATAAGTAAAAAAGTTTATATGAAGTTATGTCCTAAAATGCTTAGTTTTGGAGATACAGGGTGTAGAAATTTATTTTTTATTTTGATTTTTTCCAAATAATTTCTAATCTAACGTCTATATTGGGATGAAAATTGGTGTCTGGGAGTTTTTTGACACGAGAAATATGATTTTAGTGTCAATATGACTCCTAATTGAAGAGTAATTCCTAATTGAGAACCTACATATTTTTTAACTGGTTTGAAGAATAACAAGTTTTTGTCCGTATAAAACTACCGAGTAAAAAATATACATTTACGACGTTTTTACGTAAAAAAACGTCTCTTGGTAAAAATTGCTACGAGTGATGGCTCTCGAGATATTTGGAATCGAAATTCAATCAATACCTGTTGTCATTGACACAAATTAAACTGTTGACTAAATAGTTATTGAATACTGAAATAATAAATTTGAAATTGTTTTGTGCCAAAAGTTCAACGGAAACTGTATATCATATTTTTTTCGAAGAAAAAAGTGGATTAATTTAAAAAAATAAAAAGTTTCCAAATTCATCATTTCAGTCAAATAACTATCTAGTCAACATGTATTTTTTGTCAATAATGACATGTATTGATTGTTTTCATTCCAGATATCTTGAAAACAGTTGCTCGTGGCGTTTTTACCAAGAGACATTTTTTACGTTAAAAAATACGGAAATGTATATTTTTTCACTCAGTAGTTTTATACAGGTACGGACGAAAAGTTATTACTCTTGAAATCATTTAAAAACATATACAGGGTCGCTTTTATGTATGGAAACGGTCTATTATTAGGTAAAATATAGGAGATACCGCAAAAAGTTAAATGCAAAAGTTATAGGATTTTTAAATATCTATTAGCGAGTAATAAATTTAAGTATACAGGGTCGTTCATAAAATCGTGGCACGTCAAAGTTTTATTTTTTTTAAATAAAACCCCCTGTATATTATTACATATTTCAATTCTTCCTTCAATTCTAAGCAAAAATCGAAATACACATAATGTACCGGGTGGCCAACTAAGAATGGACGCCGGCTATATCTCACAAACTACTTATCGTATAACTTTGGGAAAAAAATTCTAATAAGTAAATCGACCAAGAGAAATATAGTAACCAATTTACCTCTTTTTGTTTCCTAGCCTACTTTATATATAAATATTAAAAATGGTCTAAAATAATTTTTAGACCATATTAATCCTAAGCGGCAGCCTAACATGATTTGTTTTCTTAATATCTCCGGTTAGATACAAGATAGAAAATTGCGGTTTGCGCTGATATTTTGGAAATTTTGTGCTCTATTTAACTGTGTAAAGAGAAATATAGCCTCCTATTTAATGTTTTTTTGCAAAAACACAATATCTGTTATGATGTCAAATAGCGCCCTCTAGCTACCACGAAAAAAATGATGGAAACAAAATTTACACTGGAGATCATTAAGGAAGAAAAGCTCTTTTAAACGAGCCCTAGTTTGTTTAAATCGGTTAACCGAAACCAGAGTTATCCTTATTTTAATAAAAGCAAGTTTAACCTTCCCCCACCACTTTATATTATGAGATAGAGGAAAACACTCTACATCAAAAAAATTACAAATTTCTCGATGATTACAATAGTAATATTTAAAATACCTGTTCACCTGCATATTTTTGAGAAAAACCGTTTTCTGATTGGCTATCAGAGAAACGCCCCCCTAGCGGACATTTTTCGAACTTGAAAATAATTTCCAGCGATTTCTCTTGGTCGATTTACTTATTAGAATTTTTTTTTCCCAAAGTTATACGATAAGTAGTTTCTGAGATACTGCCGGCGTCCATTCATAGTTGGCCACCCGGTACTTCAAACCAACCATTTCCGAGTTATTGACTTTTGAAAATATCTCTTACACAATTCGATTTAATTAATTTCGATGTGTTTGGTTTGATTTAATGATGCCATTCTGCCGAAATTGTGATACTGTTGTAATGGGTTATTAAATTCCTATTAGCTACTATAGTACTATTCTTTTAAAAGTTCCTCAATATGGCCGACCTAGTTACGAAAATTGGTATTTTTTTTAATGAAAAATAAGTTGGCGTTAGCTAATTCAGAAATTGATTTACTCTTTGGTTAACAATAATATTTTTCAGGATTGTCAAGTTGACGTTAAAGTTAGGTTATTAGGTGGTTGTCATAAATAAAAACATAGATTATTGAAATTATTTAATAAGAATAAAGGTATTTTACCGCAGATCCGAAGAGATTTAACTTAAAGGTATTTTATAAACTTTCTCAGTGAGAATATTAACTCCCCTATTTCTTATATTTCAGTTAAGGGGACGTAAGAACTATAGGAAGTAAATTTTTGTTTTCATGTTTTGACGATATCTGAGAGTTCCTAGAACTATCAAGATTATTGAATAATTATAGTTGTTTAATAAGTGAAATTAATAGAAGACTTGGAAATAGGATGATGCTTTTCATGTTGTAGTTGATAAATCACCCCATTTCTCTTAATTTTTTTTTTCAGTACAGTTAATCACAAATTAAATTGATGTGTGCAAAAACAGCTATATATTTTCAAACATCTTATTTAAATAGTTCTTTTATATACTATTAAACTGTATCAACTACAAAGTATTTAGCAAAAAATTATAAGGTAATAAATTTTGTATATATAATTTATGAAAATTTATAATATATAAAGATTAGAACACAATCCTCTGAAGGAAAAAGAAATACTCAAAAACTCATTAAATATACTTTATTAAAAATAACAACATACCAAAACATCCATGCAAACTGTAATAATCAGAACATTATCCACATTATACCTTTATTAAATTTGTGTCCACACTCCTGCCAGGAAATCCAGAAATGTTTGTTTAAATATTAACTTATTTTAAATTGCCAGAAACACATCAGAATATATCACAAC